CTTTCTTTCTCGTCTTTCTCCTTCCTTTCGTTCTTCCCTCCTCTCTCACCCATCTGCATTTATGCATGTTTACCTCCACGGGGGCAGGGGCAGGTGCTGGCTGAGGCTGAGGCTGAGGCTGAGGCTTCTGAGCTGGCTCAGGAGGACTGTCTCTAGAAGCGGCCACCGATGAAGAGTCTGCGAGAAGGAACAACGTGGTCCAGTAAACGTGACTCGCTGTCGCCTCTGCGGCTCCAGCTGTATCCTTTCCCTCTGCATTTAATCAAATCCAAGACCGAGCGAGGAACAGAATACGGCCTTCCCTGTAGTGATACCTTCCCTGCTTCGTCACTTTGACCGATCACCTTAACCATCGTATGGCAAAGAAACATTAGGCTAAGGACTGTCCAGTCTCCCTTCATGTCCACTTTTACTGAGCAATTCTGTTTTAGTCGTGAAGGAGCCACGAAGAATGTTCTGGATCTGAAAATGGCTCGTGACGTTAAGTCAGCGACGTCTAGGATGAAGCTGAGTGGCTTTTAGCACAGGACAGAACTTGGAAGGGACTTCAGAGGCCTTCTAGTCCAACCCCCTTCTCAGGCAGGAAACCCTATATCATTTCAGATAAACGGTTATCCAATCTCTTCTTAAAAATTCCCAGTGTTGGAGCATTTACAACTTCTGGTGGCAAGCTGTTCCACTGGTTCATTGTTCTGACCGCCAGGAAATTCCTCCTTCGTTCTAAGTTGCTTCTCTCCTTGATAAGTTTCCATCCGTTGCCCCTTGTCCTGATTTCAGGTCCTTTGGAGAATAATTTGACCCCTCTTTTGGGGGGTCAGCCCCTCTGATATTGGAAGGCTGCTATCATATCCCCCCTAGTCCTTTTCATTAAACTACACATGCCCAATTCCTACCATTGTTCTTCCTATGTTTTAGCCTCCAGCCCCTTAATCTTTGTTCTTCTTCTCTGCACTCTTTTTATAAAGTCTCAATTTTTTTATACCAGGTAAATTTTGCCTTACTTTGAAAATAAGCTTAATTACTACTAATAATACGCTAATAACAGCTTACTTGCATTTTTCTAGTAACTGGTACTCAATAGAACATTTGCCAGTGATACCACAGGCCGACATGATCCCTTAAGAAACCACTGACCATTAATGGAACCTCTATCTAAAATTATCTACCTTTATACCCGGTGGCAGAACATTTATGTATGAATCACTTCCTCTTTATTTGGTTCTGAATCTCCCACAAATGATTTGACGGATGAACGCTTGAAGTTCTACCATAGCAAGAAGAGAAAAAATGTCCGTTTTCCATATCGTTTATACGTCTTGGCTGCACACATAGCCTTTTGTTCTTCATTTGCAAGATAGATAGATAGATAGATAGATAGATAGATAGATAGATAGATAGA